TCTCGGGATGTCGGTGGGGGTGCCCAGGGCCACAGGACCCTGGAGGGCAACACTGGGACTGGTATCAAGCTCCCCAAAAGATGGACACGTTTGATCCCTCGGTAGGAGCTCTTCTTTTAAATAGGCTACGTTAATGTTCATAGACAGGTAGATGAAATTTTCTACTATAAACATGTATTTTTAATTTTTTCCAAAAACATTACTTTTAAAAAGAGTCAGTAGATAAAATATATAATAGGTAATAATAGACTTTTTAAATGAATTTCTATTTCATGTCACCTGTATTCTTCTCACGTGTATCCTCAAAATCTAGAATGTGTGACTTTTTCTCTCCTTCCGTTCCCGCTCCTCCCCTTCCAGCCTGTCCCCACCTGCGAGGAGCCCGACTGACGCTGGAGGAAAGGTCCCGTGGAGCTGGGCGGGCTGAGCTGGAGCCCCCGGGGGGGAGGAGCCCGCAGGCCGAGGGTCCCGCAGGCCGTCTGCTGGGCACCGTCCCCGCAACCCCAGCTGTGGCTTCTACGCACCCGGCCACTGAACCTGCACAGCAGGAGCGGCGTCTGCGGGCCAAGGAACCGCGGCCCGCGGGGCTCAGGGGACTCGGGACCGACCCACCCGCGCCGCGCCAGGGGAGCCCATCGCGGGCGCTGACGCGGGCCCGCTGCTCTTGCTCGAGCTCCTGGTGACGCAATGAGCCCTGAGAGACGGACTGGGGGGGGGCATCTAAACCGGGCTTAAAAACACTCTTATCCCGACATGTAGGGATTTTCCCAGATGATAAGGTCCCTTGGAACCCGGTGCCTCGCTGCCTCTCAGCCCTGAGGCGCAGCCTGCGAGGCCTTCGCCACTGGCGAATCAGAGTCCGCATGGACGAGCGTTTATTTCAGGCCCGGCGTGTTTCCCTGGTGTGCGGGGCGAGCCACCCCTGAGGAGTATTGTGCGATCAGTGTAAAATGAAAGTGTCCCTGAGAGTGGGATTCTGTGCAGGGCGGCCACTCGTCACGTACTTGTTAGAGGAGCCCCAGTGACGGTCCCGGTGACCTGGAGTGGCGTAGGAGGCACGGGCTTCAAACGCCGAGGTCAGGACATTCTCTGTCCCCCGGGGCCTTCTCAAAGGCCCGAGGCCATCGCGGGAAGGCTGCGGACAGAGGTGGCATTCAGAGCGTCACGTGCAGGAGGCAGTGCCGCCCGGGGCCTTACGTCAGGCTTCCCCCGCTGACCTTCTCCAGCCGCCTGGCATCCGCCTCGTTCTTGGAAAGGCCCGTCGGCCGTCCCAGGACCTCAGCAGAGGCCGTGAGGCCGCCGTTGTCCTCACAGCTGTGTTCAGGCATTTCCCGAGCGGCCCACTCATCTCAGCAGGTCGGGACGGCCTCCCTTTCCTTTAAGACGCCAGCGTGCGGCTCTCCCTCCCCGCCCGGCCTCCTCTCCTCCTGCTCTCTCTGCCCCTGGTCCCCTCTCCTTCCTTCCCTCCCGCTTCCTTTCCCCCCACGGTCATGCCCAGCACGTCAGTGACGCCCCTTTGCCCCGCGCCCTCTGAGGAACGCGAGCATCACCAGGACCATCAGCGTCAGCCCTGGCCGGTTTGGCTCAGTGGTTAGAGCGCCGGCCCATGGGCGGACTGAAGGGTCCCAGGTTCAATTCTGGCCAAGGGCACGCACCTGGGCTGCAGGCTCGAGCCCAGGCCGGGGTCGGTGCTCGAGCAGGAGGCAGCCAATCGACGTGTCTCTCACATCGGTGTCTGTCTCTCTCTCTTTCTTCCCCCCACTCTCTCTGAAAAGCAGGGGAGAAAGTATCCTCTCATGAGGATTAAAAAAGAAAAAATAGCCGGTTGAGCATCGGCCTAGGATCCAGGAGATCTGGGTTCGATTCCCAGTCAGGGCACATGCCTGGGTTGCGGGTTCTATCCCCAGCAGGGGGCGTGCAGGAGGCAGCCGATCAATGACTCTCATCACTGATGTTTCTCTTTCTCTCCCTCTCCCTTCCTCTCTCTGAAATTAATAAAGATATATTTAAAATATATATATATATATATCAAGAGACTCTGTCTTAAACCGGGTGTCAGAACGGGAGGAGTGGGGGTGTCTGGGCTGCACCCCACTCCTGTCTGCCTCCTGTGACAGCTTATCCTTGACCATTGACTTTAAAATCACTGTGGACAAGAAACACCTGGGGCTGGGGTAGGAGAGAGTCAGGGGTTAAAGGTCATAGTTTAACATTTGTAAGAGACAAAGAGAAACCGTGGAACCTCGGAGAAACACCCGCTGGAGAAACGCCTCCCAAAGAGCTGGGCGGGGGGAACCCGGTCGTCACCCGTGGACACGGCTCCGGGAAGTCTCCGCGTCAAGCACTCGGGGATGTGCCGGTTTTTCACGCTGAACGACCACGTCGGCTGCTAGTTGCATTCGTACAGTGATCTCAAAACAGGATTTCTACTTAACTTCAGTACCTTCGTTTGAAATTGAGGACAATTAGCTGTTAGGGGGATTAAGGAAACGTGCATCTGCCTTACAGTGATGAAGGTGCGGGCTTCGACGACAGGCCGCTTTGCGCACTTTCGGACACCATCACTGGATGTACTCGGGACTTCCTCGAACCCGTCCATGTAAAAATCAGGCTCCTCAGCGCTCTCCCTCCACCCAGCGAAGTGGTTCACTGTCCCCGGGTCCCTCTCATCTGCAGTCCCGAAGGGGACGTCCCGAGAATCTGCCCATGGAAGCCCGGCTCCTGGGGGCCTCACACGAGGGCAGGGCCCTCATGGGCTGTGAACAGGGGACCTTCCCCAGGGGGTGGCCTGACCTCGGGCCGCAAGGGACAGCAACGGCCCCGTCCGAGGCTCGCCTGCTGGGCCTGCCGCTTTTCTCTACCCACTGAGTCCGAGCCCTTCAGAACAGGGTTCTGGACAAAGAGCCGAGAGGCGGCCCCGAGCGCGGCCCCCGGAGAGGTGCGCCCCGGGCACGCCAGCCAACGCCCTCTTATGGTCACCACCGCCCACGCTTCTGTGTGCAGTTAGTGTGGATACGGAGAAGGAAGCTATTTTTTAGAAATTCTAATAGAGAATCCGTTTCACTCCACCAGTTAGCCAATGTCAAAACCCCTTTCCAAAAAAAAAAAAGCCTGGAAGCTGGATCTTATACAGCTGCTCACCAAAATATTTTTTTTCCCCCTTGAGTCTTTTCAACTGAGTACACAGCCTTAGGTGTCTAGAGATAAAAGTCTGTTTACAAACTTTCCAAGATTCCAATACATTAACTGGTGCCTCAGGCTTCCAGAGTTCTCTCCCTCCGTCCTACTGACTGCCTGGTTGGTATCTGGAGACTCCTGGAGAGTTGATGGGCATTTTTGGAACCAGTCTTGCTAATACTCTACATAATGCTTTAGCTTTAGCTCCAGTCCATCTCTTTAGCTGGCACCGCACAATCTCCCTTAATACGATGGAGAGAAGTGAGATGTTTGTGGTCCATACAAAATTGTCTGCGAGCATCTCTGGCAATGCATCGTCTTTGCCCATGTTATTTTTGCTTTGGATCAAAATTATTACATCTCCAGGGACGAGTTAAATATTTTTTTCTGGCATGCTTTCCTCTTTAATATTTGGCCTAGTGATTTTCTGGCTTACCCATCTCTTCTGAGAAACTAATTGTCAACACATAGTTTAGATGACTTTTAAGCTGATAAGTTGTAGCAGCTGTTGTATCAGGTTCTAATATTCCTTCCATAGCCTTGGGGGCCCATTCAAACTTAGAATAGATTTTTTTCTAGATTAGCTAAACATTAATGTATTTTAAACTGTATCAAAACTAAAAATGATGGACTAGGTCCTGAGGAATATCACACCCAGTTAAGAGCCCCAGTGCTGCCCTGGCCAGTGTTGCTCGGTGGTTAGTGTCGGCCCGCACACGGAAGGGCTGCGGGTGTGACTTCAGGTCAAGGCCACGTACCTGGATTGCAGGTTCCATCCCTGGCCCTGGTTGGGGCCCATGAGGGAGGCAACTGATCGACGTGTCTCTCGCACATGGATACATCCATGTTTCTCTCTCTCTCCTCCTCTCTCCTTCCCTCCCCTCCACTCCCTCTGCAAAGCAATGGAAACAGGATCCTCTGGTGGGAAAAACCCAAAAAACAGAATCTGAGTGCTCCCAGTGCACGGAATGACTCAGTCACATGGACATGCTAAGCAGGCCGCTTATCAGACGGTATGTTCTACATGGACTCATTTGGTTATAAATTCAAGAGTATCATGTGCTAAAATGTTTATAATCATTGACTATATTGAGATACATTAAAATAAAATGTAATGGCAACTGTTATTCCCCTGACACTTTCTTTGGTAGGTTCACACATTTTCATCACAATCACAGTCTGACATCTGGTTAGATAGAAACAGG